CTCGGAAGGGAAAAGAGATCTACTATGGTTGAAGATATATATATACATATATATATATATAGTTTTGGGATTTGCTTTAAGAAGGGTGATCTAGGGCCGGAGATTTAGCTCAGTGGTTCCGCTGCCTGCCTCGCAAGTTCAAGGTCCCTAGTTCTAATCCCTGATACCAAAACAAATAAGAAGGGTGATCTAAACATTCTTTGAATGTGCTTTTTAATCTTAAGAACAGATTGTTGCGGGCCGGAGATTTAGCTCAGTGGTTCTGCCGCCTGCTTTATAAGTGTAAGGTCCTTAAGTTGCAGTGTTCTTTAAATTTTAATTCTTTTTTTTTTTTTTTTTTTTTTGAGTACCCCGGATCGAATTCGGATCCTTACACTTGCAAAGCAAGCAGCGAAATCACTGAGCTAAATCCCTGGCCCTTTAAATTTTAAATTTTAAATTAAGGTTTTCCTTGTCTCCTACCTGTCATTTTTTTCTATCCTACCTCAGGAAGACTCTGAATATCAGCAGTTCTTAAATACACTCAGGTGTTCTCTCTTACCGGAAGCATTTAATACATTCACATTTAATGTAGCTACTGATAACCTTATTCTGTTATATGTTTCCTTTTTCTCTCCTTGTATTGGGTTGATTTCTTTTTATAATTCTAATTTGTAACTTCTTTTGTTTTTATTTTTATTGTGGCAGAACTTGGGCTCAAACTCACAACAGTCTAATACTGAACTAAGTTTTTGTATATTTTGAGACAGGTCTCATTAAGTGGCCCAGGCCGTGATCCCTGTGCTTCAGCTTCCCTAAGTGTTGGGATTACATGTATGTGACGCTGCTGCGCCTACCTGTAGGTACTTTGATCTATTACTCCAGGAATGTCAACATTCATGTTTATGAAGTCCACATTTATCAGTACTCTTACTCTCCTCTCAAAGAATGCATTCAATTCCACTCACCTTCTTAACTTAGACTGTTAATATAAGGCATCACTTACATACATATTTTATTTTAAAAATCTCTCTGACTTGTATTATGTTGCCAGTGTTTATTTACATTTATTCAAAGTATTGTCTGATATAAGTAGTGTCCATCCTATCAAAGAGACAAAGCTGGACATCAATAAAAGGCAGCAAAGACAATTTTTATTCAGCAGTAGGCAAGAGAAGCTACTGTAAATGAGGCAGAATTTTGAGAAAAAAAGTGCAGAAGGCTGTTGAAATGCTGAGGTGCGCTAAAGGAAAGACATTGAAACAGCCAGGTGTGGTGTGCCTGCCCATAATCCAAGCATTTGGGAAGCTGAGGCAGTAGGATTGCCATGAGTTCAACGTGTGAGTCCAAGGCCACCCTAAACTATATAGCAAGACCCTGTCTTAAAAGCATTTTTTCAAAAAAAAAGAAAATAAACTGAAAGATGTGAAAGAATTTTGTCCATATAATTAAGCCATCTGGGTTTTTACTGACATTTATCTAAGAAATAAGCTACTTAAACTTTTTTCCTGTCTTCCCTCTAATTTTCCAATTAAAGATTTTTCCTATAAATTTATGTTTTAGTGTTAATTTTAATTCTACTAAAGCAATGACCCATCCTAGCTAGCAGGCCTTCATTTTTTGTGTTTGTCTCCTTTATTATCTTAAAATACTGGATCAGGTGTATATTCAGCTCTGCACATAGGCATGCTAATGTCATAAGGAGTATATATTTTAGTTTTAATTTCAATTGTTACTAAAAGAAAGGACCCATGCTATCTGATGACATCTTGAAGACTCAGGCAAAATTTTCAGATATCCAACTCCCTATTTTTACAATATCTTGTGCCAGACACTTTGGGGCAGTGCCTGGAAGTTTCCAGACATTGTCCTAACCCCGCAGCCACCTCAGATTCCAGAAAAAGCAGAGCCTTGCAAAGCACCCCCTGATGAGACCACCCCCCAACACACAAGCAAGAACACTCATGGGAATCAGATTGTTTCCTAAGGCCTTGAGGACTTCTCCAGAACTACCTTACAGAATCAGTCTCGAGATAAAGATTGATCAGGCCTAGCTTGACTAGAATTACAAACTTTGCCAATTATGCAAACCTCAAACCTTTGCCCTTGTCCCCCACCATTTTTTTTTTTTTTTTTTTGAGAGAGGGTCTTCATCTGTAATTCAGGCTGGCCTGAAACTCACTATGAGGCCCAGGCTAGTCTCAGTGATCCTCCTGTCTCAGCTTTTGAGTGCTGGGATTAGAGGCATGTACCTGAGCACAATCGTAATGTTGTCAATCCCTGGAAGACAGATTTTTTATTTTTTTTAGATGGGGTATTGCTATGTAGTTCAGGCTGGCCTTAAACTCACTGTATAGTCCAGGCTGGGCTCAAACCTGTGGTCATCCTCCTGCCTCAGCACAGGCTTGTGCCACCATGCCTGGCTGACAGATCTTAAACTCTTTTTATCTATGCCTTCCTACCCTTTACCACTATTCATTTCCTTGATTGGTGTTTTGGGACCATTACTGGGTTTTGAGGTGCTGGAGTCTCTTGTAAGAGGTAGGTTCTTTCTGTCCTGATCAAAATATTGGTCAAGACAAGTGCAACTTGTAGCAAGATTTTATATTTAGTGGAGCGAGTTTGAGCCAAGTAAAAGTATGAAAAAAAGTACAGTTTACAGCGTGAGAGTAGACTACTGTGAAAGAACACAGAGGAAAGCTCATTGTGGACCTTCCTTTTTATATCACCCACAGCTCAGGCTGATGTCAGCCCTACTGAAAAATTGTTCATGTTCTCACAAAAAGTCCTTATACAGGGCTTTGGGGATGTGTTCTGGGAATGTGTCCCGGGATTTTGTTCTTAACAGGTCACACCTACTTCTCCTGCCACATTGGCCATTCCCTAGTTGCCTGCCTCAGACTGATGGCCACAATCTGGCTGGGCCTTAGGAGCCAGGGCTTTTTCACCATAAAACTCAAGTAACGTTTTTGCATGTGTTCATCAGTGAGAGTGATCTAAATATTTTGAGTATTCTTTAAAGTTCATTATCCAAGTTGGTCTCATAAAATAGAGTATGTTCTGACTTCTATTCGTTGTTGTTTTTTCCTTAATAAAGATATCACCTGATCTAGAATTATCTTATTGGAAACATTTATATAATGGATTAAATTTTTTTAGTAGAAATAGTACTCTTCAGATTGTTACACCTTATAGCAGATTTTTCATTACATGTTACTAGGGACTTGTTTCACCTAAATTTTCAAGTTCAGTGGTTTACATTAGAGAATCCTTTTATTTTTTTAACACAATAAATGTAGTCCAGGCTGGGCTTGAACTCACTGTGTAGCCTAGGATGACCTCAAATTCTCAGCAATTTTCCTGCCTCAACTTCCTGAGGTGTGTGCCACCATGCTTAGCGACATCATATACCTTGATCACTATCTGCCCTTCAACATCATGGTGCTATAATCCTATAATCCTAGCTATTCAAGAGGAGGCTGAGGCAGGAGAAACAAAAGTTCAAGCCCAGAATGGACAATTTAGCAAGACCCTATCTCAATATAAAATTTAAAAACAGGGTCGGGAATTTAGCTCCGTGGTTCTGCTGCCTGCCTTGCAAATACAAGGTCCTGAGTTCGATCCCTGATACCAAAAAATAAATTTTAAAAAAGGGAAGGCCTGAACCAGTCTGCAGTCCTGTATGAGAATGTGCCTACTGCTGCTTTTCTGTCTTCCAAGTTTCCAGTTAAGCCCCCACCCACACCAGCATTATGCTTTAGTTTTCATTGCCAGCATTGTTGCAGAATTCCAAGGGACAGGAGAGACCAATGGGATTAGGAGGATTTATTTCAACTTTAAGGAGTACACCAGCTCTACAGACTCCTGTCCAAAGGAAGAGTGTTTGAACAGAGAAGTTCCAGGTCTTGCTAGTGAGGTGAAACTGGGGGAGTGGCCAGTGAAGTTACAGAATCAAAACACAATGACAGTTTTGTTCCCTGTGACTCCCTTGAGAACAGGGCATAATTAACTTGTTTATAGGACATAGTTGCCTGTATGTAAAAGATACATCTACTATGTATCTTAAAAGATTGCAAAAGTTTCTTAAAGTTTGCAAAAACTTCATTTATTGGAATGTAACTGTCTGCCCTATTAATACCAGGGAGGAAGCCCAGCCTTGAAGAAAGGCAGATTCTTGAGAAATCAGGTGGTCACTGTACTGTTACCAAGAATCTTCTTGTTTACCTTATTTGTAGCAGAATAAGGAGGGGGGGGGTGTCTGTGGCTGATTGCCCAAGGCTTTTCTTTAAGTCCTGCTTCAGTATTACTTAAAGCAAGGGCTCAAGCTAGCCTGTGAGATAACCAAATTATAAAACTATGTGCTTCAAAATCCACCATTGAAGCCAGGCGTGGTGGCACACGCCTGTAATCCCCAGCACTCGGGAGGCTGAGGCAGCAGGATCACTGTGAGTTAGAGACCAGGCTGGGCTACATAGTGAGACCCTGTCTCAAAAAACAAAAAACAAACCAAAACAAAATCCATCATTGAGAAAGTGAGAATGCAACCCAACCACGACCAGGTTGTTAGTTATTTTAAAGGTTGTAATAGGCTGGAACTACCAGAGGGCACAAGGGTAGAATGACTGTCCTCAGAAACTATGACCTAGTGTGGGTTCACTATCTTCTACTGGACCTAGGACCCATCCTCTTTTTGTTTGAGACAGGAGTTCTACGTGTTCCAGGCTGGCCTCGACCTCAAGACCCTCCTGCTTCACCCTCCCAAATGTTGGCGTCTACAGGCTTGGGTACACCGTCTGAGACATTGGCACCAGAGCTGCAGCTAGGCTCGGTGGCACTTGCCTGCAAACCTACGCACTTCCTTGCCCATGCGAACTGCTAGTGAATTGAGAACTAAAAATCAGAAGGATCGGGCCGGTTTGCTCGGTCCTTCCTTCCGGTTGCTTTCCCAGGAGGATTTTGGACCTCGGCCTGTTTTTCCCACAAACCATCGCGGCCTTGGAACTTGAACTACATTTCCCAGAGGTCTACGCGCGCGCTCGTTCCGTAGCTTTCCTTCTTTCTTTGCTTGTTTTTTTGCGCTTTTCGGGGTTAGTTGAACTTTCACAATACTGCAAACTAAAGGTGCTGGCTGACAGAGCTCTAGGAAACCGGATAAAATTGGAGCCAGACCTGAATCGCCGAGGACTGGAAAAAGCCCTTCAAAGAATGGAAGCCCGCAGTAGGGACTGCTGGTTGTAAACCGGAATCCCAGGCCAGTGTATTCGTGCACAGCAGGTGAGCATAATTGTGTTTCTGTGTATATCAGATAGGAAATATAAGACATAGAGACAGACAGGCAGGCAGGCAGGCAGGCCGGCAGGCAGAAAGTTGCGTACGAGAGGGCTGGAATGTGGCTGTTAGCCTACATGCTTTTGCTAGTGGCAGGTGAGTGGCTGTGCTCGCGTCACGGGGCGGTGAGGTACGTGTCCGTTACGTGTGCGTCGATTGCTGTGACTGTGTTTGTCAGTGATCCGTTGTATGTTCCTTGGTGCTTGCTTCCTTTGCTCTCTTTTCTAACAGCTACTTGGATCTGACAAAGAAATGTCTGCAAGAACGAAATCAGATGCAGAAACCTAAATGAATTTTCCAGCAATCAGGCATTGCCTTGCTGTTGGATTGAGAATGTCTGAGACGTCTCTTTTGGGAAATTTGAGGGCCAACTAGCTAAGTATCTCAGAACCTCAGCCTTCCTAAAGCTCTGACCCTAGGAATTAGCGTGAATTTGCATAGATTCCAGTCTCCCTCCTGCCTTTGTGTGCTTGTGAGCAAGGGGACTGTGGACCTGTAGGAAGTTGTAACTAAGTCATACCGTCCAAGAACAGACTCTTGACTCTTCTCCCTCTCTAGTTCTGCCGTTTCCTAAAAGAAGAACCTTGACATAAAGAATTGTTGAACATTTTTAAAAAAATCAATATTTAGGCTAGTTGGGTTTTGTACTTCTTGTTGTTGGTTTGTTTATTTTGCTTTGGGTTGTGTTTTTTTGTTGTTTTTGTTTTTGTTTAGGGGCCTTGCGCTTTGTGAGGCAGGCGGCAGCACTACTGAGCTTCATCCCTGGCCCTGGGTTGTGGTTTTTTTGTAGTACTGGGACTTGAACCCATGGCCTTTGCACTAAGCTACATCTCTCCCTTTTTTAAAAAAAAAAGGGACACAGATTCTCGCCATATTGAACAGGCTGGGCTCGAACTTTATAAACCACGTAATTCAGTCTCCTGGAGTGCAACTCCATGCCCAGCTTCAGCAGTAAATAAGTATAAAATAGAAAATTATTTGCATGGACTACCTTGGGTCTTATCTATCCTATTTTAATTACACTTTTTTTTTCCGTTGTTGAAGTTTGAACGCAGGACATTTGCGCTGAGTTATTCCCCCAATTCTTTTTAAATTTTTTATTTTGAGAAAGGGTCTTGCTAAATATCCGTGTTGCCCAGGTTGGGCTCCATCTTGCAATCCTCCTTTCCAGATGCTGAGATTACATGTGTACACCACCATGACCTGCGGGCTTTTTTCAAGAGACTTAGACCTAGGGATCTAGAATCAAGAACAACAATTTTAATGTTTATGATTACTTGAAAAATCTGTGTTCAACATTATAAAAATTAAGTAAATGATTAATGCGTATGGTTAAATATGCAGCTAATAGTTATTTTTGTATAGATTTAGACATAAAGAAAATATACATTCAGAAATATTCTTATTTGTCATTAATAAGAATTAAAAATATATATCAGTCTCAATTAGGTTGTTTTGTGAAAACTTTTGCAAGGATTGGGTCTAAGTAATTTAATTGTTTATTGAGGAAGTAGCATAATGGCTATATTTTATTGCAATCTGTTTTGTTTCACTCTTTTCCTTTTCCTACGTTGATTCAGTCCGAATCAATAGTTTACACAATTTCTATAGCTATTAGGTTAAGTCATCTGCTTTATGGCACTTTTGGAAGCAGGGTGTTTGAGCATAGATGCCTGTGTCAACAAGAGGAGGAAACATATTTGGATGACTCCTAAGAAATAATTATTTATGATCAGGTGCTATTTATGGTCTGGCAGAATGCAGTTTTCAGAAACATCATTGCCTGGCCTATGAGAGGCAGTGTGGTGTGACATTGAAGAGAATGGGCCCTGGATGCCTAAATTTGGTTTGTATCTCAGCCCTTTCACTTATTCATATAAGCCTGGGCATTGCATTCACTTAGGCTACATCAGACCTCAGCTAGAACAATTCTAGGATCCTAACCCTAAGCTGCCAGGGGGAAATGGGAAAGGCACGTTTTCTCAGGTGTTTAAGAATCTTCTTTTGTGTTCTGAGGACAAAAATTTTATGTTTAAATTGAGATTTTAGTTACAATTATGAGAATACCAGTGTGGGAATTTCATTGTATTAAAAAATTGAATTAGAGTTATGTTTGTTTTAAAGTAGTAAATTGAGGGATTTCTAAGTTATTCACCTCAAATAATAGTTAACTTACCTTAAAGCAATTGTTTCACTAAATTTATTTGTTTATGCTATTTTAGGGATTGAACCCTGGGACTTTCCACTGAGCTACATCCCTA